CCCCTCCCCCACTCTCCAGCAGCAGTGGTGGGAAGCAGAGCGATGTAGCTTCCAGCCACATTGCTCGAAGGAGGGACCTGGGGGGAAGGATGGAACGACGCCCTGCACTCAGTGGCAGGAAGTGGAACAACGTGGCGGGTTGGAGCTGGGTTGCTCTACTTTCTGCTGTCACTGCTGGTGAGTGCCAGGGTACGCCTGATCTCTGCTGCTGGTACCAGATCTCCCGCTGATCCTCCAGGTTGCACTGCTAGGGGGAGGCGGCTTGGGGGAACGGGCAGGGCTTCAAATTGCTCCACCCTTCTGGCTCCCAGCTGCTTTCCACTAATAGTTTCTGTGTGGTGGCATTTCTGTCCCTTCCCCAAGCTCCTGCCCCCAAGTAAGGCAACTGGGAGCCAGGGGAGTGGAGTGGTGCCTAGTTGCTTTGCTTCCCACCTCTGCTAGTGAATGCAGGGGTGGGCCTGCCCCTCCTGCTGGCACCAGGTCCCCCGCTAGTTCTATGGGCCGCCCTGAGCCCCAGGGCTGTTGCCCCAAAGTGTCTTATGAATGGGATGGCTCTGCATGGTACGTTACTGCTTAGAGCAGATACATGAAACATGCGTTGTCTGGGCAGTAACTGGAGGAATCCCAGGAACCTGTATCAGAAGTGGTCCATCCAGTCAGTGATCCCATTTCCAACACAGACCTATACAAAAGTTTTTCGAGGAAGGTCAGTGTCCTCTAGCCCAGAGGCTTCTCAAACTTCATTCCACTGCAACCCCCTTCTGACAACAGAAATTACAACACAACCCCACGAGGGAGGGGGGAACTCATCGTAGGCTGGGGTGGGGCTCAGGCTTTGGCCCCGGGCCCTAACCAGTCCAACATCAGCCCAGCAACCCCGTTAAAATGGGGTTGGAGCCCACTTTACGGTCCTGACCACAGTTTGAGAATAGCCCATGATGTGCTTAGTCAGTTGTGCAGCACTACAGCATGGGTGGGAGTTTCTTCTTGCTCTCAGCTGGTGCTCAGCTTTGATCTGAAGCCTGAATGCATCACAACAGTCTCCCTCCCACCCTGCTACCCTGGAGAACAGCAAGAGGAGAATGCGGATGCATTGGCCTATTTAGCCCCTTGCTGCTAGTTTCAGCTGCAACCCAAGGCCTGGTCCAAAGCCTACACAAGTTAAAAGTCTTCCAGTGGTTTCAACTGAATTTTGGATTGGGCCATTGGTGTGGCAAGCACACAGAATAGTGACCTTTGAACAGCTGACATTCAGCTAGAATGAGAGTCAATATTCTCCTCCTTCTCAATACTTATTCGAATTGCTGAATTACGAGATGATCAGCGATTGCCATGCATGTAGCTAACCTCTGACCAGAATACAATAGCAGCTCGTTTAACTAATTTTTTTTAAGTCTTACAAATTAAACCCACAGGGTCCATTGTGAGAACAAACAAATCAACTTCCTAAATGTTGGTGATAAATCTCACCTCCGCAGCCGTTACTGCTGCAGGCAGAGCTCATTTTAATTTCTAAAATACGCTTTGTTGGAGCTGAAGGTCACTAGCAATCTGCTCCCCACTGGGACTCTCTACAATTCCATAGATCTTTCAGTGCTGCTCTGATACACATCAGTCTCCACTACTCGAAGTGGAGAGCTCCCACCTGGTGGCTAATTGCCAAATTCTTGTCCTCTCCCTTCAAAGGGATGAAAAGCTCTAAACTTACAACCTGCAAACTTCATACCCCCTTGCTTTATAGAGCCTCTATAGAGCATCTGTGCTAACAATTTGCAACCTGGAGGGGACTCAATTTCTGGGTGACCCTCAGAGCTCCTTTTAGGTAAATCACACTTGGGCTTTGCATCGGTGGCCTTGAAATGGTGGACATTTCAAAAGACAACAGAATGGCCCACGGCACGCTGTGGTTTTAGCATGTAGCATTCTCAGGCTGTGTCGACACTACCAAGTTGTGTCACCAAAAAGTGCCTTTTGGCGACAAAACAGTGAGCGGACACACTGCAATGGGACTTTTGTTTGGAAAAACGTCCAGTTTTGGGACAAACGTCAACCCTTGCTAGAGAATCTTCTTTTCCCCTCCATTGTCAACAGAGAGCCAGTGTAGACACGGCTGTTTGTTTTGAACAGAACTGGATTCCTCCAGTATCCCACAATGCCTGTCCTGATGGCTGTGCTCAGTATTTTGATCTCTGCTGTCCTGCAGGCATGCGTCCCTCTCCTTTCAAAGCTCCAGCAAGTATCTGACAGCTGAGTGGAGTGGCTTCATTTGGCGGACAAAGAGCAAATCATTGGAATGCTCCTGTTCTGCCCTGCTAGGGACAAGGGGACAGGCTGCAGTGCTGCTTTGACATTCCTCAGCACCGAGAGCTCACAGAGCTACTCATGATGCTGCTCCCAGCAGCTGCGGAGACCATGGCAAAACTCTTAGGGAATCCCAAGATGTGATCAGTACTACCTTCCTACAACACTGCACTGTGGGATACATATCCGCAGTGTACTGCTCATATGGCCAATAATGGTGCCCCCAGTGTGGACATAATCTATCGACAGATGGAGCAAGCATGACTGCCATCTGGCGATTTGTGTTTTGTCAACTTTTGGGTGTTGGCATAAGTTGTCGACAAAACTTGGTAGCGTAGACAAAGCCTCAGTTAGATTGGGTAAAGTTTACGGGATTATGAGGTATGTTAGGCCAAGATTTTAAAAGCTGGTGCTTCAAGTTAAGGCGTCTAAATCTAGAGCTAAGATTTGCTTCTCTCTTTCTCTCCCTCACACACAGACACAAGCATTCCATTTGAATGGTTTGCTCAGTGTCCCGGATCAGATCAGCACAGCACACAGGCTGTGCAAAACAGAGCTCTGAAAGGGGGGTATGTACATGCCTGCAAGGCAGCCCGCTGAGTTCAACACAAAGAGCAGAGAGGCCACTGCAGGGATTATGGGCCATTTCTGGAGGCCAGTCACAACACAGCAAACAACGGATGTGTCCACAATGTCGCCCCTCAGCACTGCAGCCACTATGCAGCAAGCTCTACACTTCTTGTCGAGAGGGTTTGCCTGGAGCACAGCAACTGCAGAGTTAGTGCACACTAAGTACCTTGCCAGTGGTGGTATCTCGGGAGTTACAGCGCTGGAGGCTGATATACCGCGCTGTAACTTGACAGTGTATACCAGGGCTACTCAACACATTTGATTGTGGCCCGGGGTGCTGGCCACAATACACGGACTGTGGTTAGGAGCCAAAACAAAAAAGTAGTTAATATATTGGTCTTCTGTTGATATGCGTTTTAGTAGTTAAATTCCTGGACTGTGATTGCTCATTAAAAGTGCTGTCGTATGGGTGGAAATTGGGTAAATATTTTATTTTATTAACATCAGCAGAACTGACTTAAATGGGGCCTGCGTGTTATGTAGCCTTGCATTAATCTTTGCATTCATTCCTGTGAGTTTGAAAGTAGCTATTTGCATATATTTGCATGTATATACAACCACATTTAACTTGTGGCCCTCAGCATGTGCTGTATCATTGTGACCCCGGGCGCTTCCAAAATTGAGCAGCCCTGGTATAGACTTAGCCTTTGAAGCACACAAAGCTAAAGCGAAATCCAGTACCTTGCACTTTGACTGTAGCTGAAGTTGAAGCTGTTCCATGTTCGTTCGTTGCCACGCAAGTGTAAATACCACTATCCTGAGGCATCAGGTTGCAGATCTTCAGGGTGATTTCCCCAGAATCGCTATGGGTGTCAAAAATGCCACGTTAAAATGCTGCTTTCCTAGCTAATACTTACACTGGCTTCTCTCTTAGCTTACGGGAACAAGGGTGATGTATTAGAATGGGGTGAACAATAATTTTTGATGGGGGGGGCATGCCAAGAATTTGTAAGTGGTCAAGGGCTGCACTCTATGATAATAATGGAGGAGATGTGAGCTCTGGGATGGAGGCTGAATGCAGAAGGGAGCTTGGTGTAGGAAACTGGGATGCAGAAGGGGGTGCAGAGTCCAAGTATGGCTGCAGGAGGAGGGAGGGGCACAGAAGGGGGTGAAGGGTCTGGCAGAGGATGATGACTTGGGGTGGTTTGTCACCTGGGGCAGGCAGATGGGATGCAAGAGGGGGTGAGGTGCAAGGTGCAGGCTCTGGCTGGAAGGCGCTTACCTTAGGCAGTTCCTGGCCACCAGCCCAGTGGGACCGTGGGGCACTCTCCCTGTATACCACCGCCCCACATGCAGCTGCAAGGGCCATGAATGTCTCTGTGCACCATGCACCCATTGGGCCACAAGCAAGGCCCAGCCAGCATCCATTGGCCATTTTCCAGCCAATGGGAGCTGCGAGACTGGGCTGAGGGTGGGGATAGCGCATGAAGGGCCTCCCTCCCACCCCCCGAGCATGTGATGCACAGAGATGCACATGGCCCCCGCAGCTTGCTGCTTTGAGATGTGGGTGGGGGCATGGGAGGCAAGGAGCCCGCCTGAGGCTCCTGCTGGGCTGGGGACAGAGGAGGGCTGAATCTGGCTGTTTGGCATCCGGCTTTTGTCTGCCTTGTCTTAGAGGGTACGATGAGCACAGATAAAAGATGTCAAGGGAGATAAAGGGAGAAAAATACAGACTAAGGATATTTTTCATTGTACTGGGTCAAATTCAGACTTGTGACCTTGTTTCATTGGGTCCAATAAATGGGCACCAGGTTACACTAGGTCTGAAGTCATGAGTTTGACAGCACGATGGGAGGGTGTTCAAAAAAGAATCAAGGCAACAAGACAAGACACATCCAAATTCTAAAGAAAATAATAATATATAGGGAAAACACCGATGTGAACACATCACCTGTATGCGACTATCACACAAAGTACCACCGGGAATGAATCTGCCAAGCATGTGCAAGCAGGGCAAGTTAGAGAATTGGAAGGGCAATCTTGACAAACTGATGGTCTCCAGGGGAATCTCTTGACCAGGCAGGGTGTTTTGATGAATGAGCACAATGACTTCTGATTTCTTATTTTCCATGACTGTGCATTCCCAGGGTACAGCTGCACCAGAACCAGATGTGCTGATTTTTTTTTTAAAGAAAACTTCAATGTTGTGATCCCGAGGAATTCAGATAAGCTGTAGATGAACATCTGAACTTAGCCTGCTTATATGAACTGCATTCCAACTCCAGAGCCTGTGAGGTTTGCCCAAAGTTGATTATAAAGCTCTCTGGTCTATATTTTTTCCTTTCCCACATGGAACTTTTGCGGCTGACCCTGTCTGTCCAAGAATAGTTAGCAATGACTTCCCCTGGAGACCATCAATGCTCTGTGTCATAACCAGGAGTGCTGACTAGCACCTTGTGACTAAAGGGTTCACTCTGTCCCTAGCCAGGTATCTTGTCAGCCAATAACCATGCTGGTAGGAGTTTCCAGCTGGGACAAAGGAATCTTTATCTTTCCCTCCTTTGTCTGAAAAGCAGAGCAGTTTCTTCCAGGTATTAAGTTAGATGGAAGACACTTCTCTCTCCAAGAACGGACTTCTACAACGTGTAAGTAGGGAATAGCTAGTCCGTCAGGTTTTGTTGTTTTCCTGGTTTGGGGATTTGGAACTAATGTCTGAGCTAGTAATTGTTTTTTTTCCAGCGTTTTTTTTTCCTGTTTTGTAACTAAAGTTTTGGCCCAGGGAGGTCCCCCTGAGTATCTCAATCAATTGGTGGCTCTTTCCATCTACCCACTTTACTATGCTTGCAACTGTAGTTTTGTTTTGATAGTAAACGTTATGTTTCTTTTTTAAATTAACTGGTACTGGCTGATTTTTGTGTGCTGGAAGGTCTGTCGGTGGGTCCCTTCTGTTTTGCTTGGAGTTGGGAAAAACAGAGGTTGGGGCAGGGGAGAGTGTTACCTTAGGGAAGAGGTTTCCCCAAGTGATCTCTTCCCTGGTTTTCTTGGAATTACTTTGGTGGTGGCAGCGGATTTCCCCAAAATCCAGGTATTAGGAACTTTTTGTACCAAAGACTGTAGAGACAAGGCTTGGGGTGCTCTTGTAGGTCCCCACTTCTGCATTTGTCATACCAGAGTGGGGAACAGCCTCGACACTCTGCTTGGAAGTGGTGGAGGAAGTCCTTAGAGAGCCACAGCAGCCACTGCTTTCTACCAGAGTAGCCTGTGTCAGGTTGAGGAACTGCAGACTGCACCTGAGTTCCAAACTTGGATCCCCTATAGCCAGCATAGATAACGTGCTGCTAGTGCAGCACGCCAAGCTGGCCTACATACTCACATCTTTAACATGTCTTGTGGTCTGGTTGGTGCAGTCACCTCATTTGAAGGGAAGGAAACAACCAATACACGCCTGAACACTTTGGGATTCCAATGCATGAACTTACCAGGATGAAACTGTGTAAGTGGCTGTGCTGTTGTCATTGTCGAGAATATTTTGATCCGGCCCCTTCCAGGTTATGCTGGGCTTTGGCCGGCCACAGACTTTGCACTGCAGCATCACTGTGTCCCCAAGCAAACAGGTGATATCCACCAATGGCACAAGAAACTCTGGAGCAACTGGAGCAAAACACAAACATACACAACCTTTTAGCCAAGCAGAAGAAAAGTTCCTCCATCTAGTCCCCATATTTGAACAGAAGCATAGCATCATACAAGTCATCGTGGGTTTTTAAAACAGGATCATGTGCCTGAATGATGCCTCCACAACTTTTGTACCCAACGTGGAGGACAGGAGAGGCTGGAAGGAAAATGGCTGAAACTGTGACTTCACTAAGAGCCAGACTGTGGTGGCTCTTGCACTGCCATGCAGAGGTGGAAGACCTGCAAGAAGCCCAACGTGCCAGGGCCTCCCACAGTAGCAGTTTCTTTGCTTTGGAAAGCACCAAGACCAGGCATTTTTTCTCTGCGTCTGGGCAGCAATTCACTGGAAAATGGATGGGAGGAAGCAGGTTGTGATCCCCGCTGCCTGCTGAATAGTGCTGGTGCCCTGGGGGAGACGGCGCTACCCACCGTAATAACAGATGGAGCTTCCCGTTCACTGTAAGAAGCCCTGGGGAGATCACACTAGCCTGAGGCACCATCTCTTTGTGCTCTTCCTGGGTCAATGCATCTCCACACTGCCTCTTTGGGGTGTTGGGAGGAGGCTCTGGGGCCAGGAGGAACCCTCCTCACACCGAGTACCCTGGAACCCAGCCAATATTACTTAGGAAGCTGTCAATGCGGGGCCTGCCCTAGTATGTGTCACTGTGATGAAGCCCTATGAAATTCTCTGTAACACCTGGGTAGCTGGCATGGAAGGAAAACATTGCAGTGTGCAACAGCTTTTTCACTCACCTTCTTGGATAAAATTTGGGTTCATTATCTGAAAAAGCAGAAGAAATACAAACATTTTATTTTTTCTGGACAGTAAAGAGGAGGCATCTTCTTCTGCAAGGTAAAGTGAAGAAAGGAACATGAAATTCAGAGGCTGATAGGGAGCATAAGAGGATTCTCTATCAACTAACATACACAGCAAGTTTCTGTGAGTGAGCCGAAAATGGCTAGTGCACTGTTTAGAAGGCAAATGAAGGAATCAGCACTTAAAATTTTGATAAAGCATGGCCTTTTTCAGCGTTAATTGCAGCACAGGCAACAGGCAGTAATATAACACTATGAGGGCTGTAGACTATAGTTTATTTTTATCATATATGTGGTGATGCTCATGCTTTTAATTCCTTTCTTTCTGCACCCACGTGATAAATAGTCCCATCATGTGATCAGATGCATAACTACATGATCAAATGCATTGATCATGTAACGTTGACCTCGCCTGCACTGTGCCCACTAACTCATCTCCTCTGACTGAAGTATTAACTCCCAAAATACTTCAGTAAAAAGAAGAGGGGAAACAAATCACAAGAAATACTTCTTTGCCCTCCCTCTCTATTACAACAGTTCAAGCACCAGGGCTGACATGTTCCAGTCCCATGACAGAGTTAAGGTCTAATCTCATGACCTGTCACGGCTATGAAATCTTGCCTCGTCCCCTTAGAAAGTAGCGGTGTCCAGACATCCAAATTATTTGTACCTTGATTAGAGGTTTAGAACAGATGCTATACGAAGAGAGATTAAAAAGACTGGGACGTTTCAGCTTTAAAAAAAAAGAGACTGGGGGGGCGGATACGATAGAGGTCTATAAAAATTATGACTGGTGTGGAGAAAGTGAATACGGAAAAATTATTTACTTTTTCCCCTAAGGCAAGAACTAGGGGTCACCAAATTAAATTAATAGGTAGCAGGCTTAAAACAAACAAAAGGAAGTTTTTCTTCACACAGCACACAGTCAACCTATGGAACTCCTTGTCAGAGGATGTTGGGAAGACCAGGACTTTAACAGGGTTCAAGAAAGAACTAGATATGTTCATGGAAGTTAGGTCCATCAATACTTATTAGCCAAGACAGGTAGGAATGGTGTCACTAGCCTCTGTTTGTCAGATGCTAGAAATGGATGACAGGAGAGGGATCACTTGGTGATTCCCTGCTCTTTTCATTCCCTCTGGGGCATCTGGCATTGGGCACTGTCAGCAGACAGGATACTGAGCTAGAGGGACCTTTGGTTTGATCCAGAATGGCCGTTCTTATGTAATGCAATCAAAATTAAAAATGATTCATCATTCAGTGGCTTACACACAGTAGTTAGGCAACTTGACCTTATATTTTAGAAGGTGGAGAGATTCAAAACCAATACCAGTAACTTTTGCAATGCTCCATCTATAAACAACTTTTCTAAGTTCCAGAGGGGTAACCATATTAGTCTATTTCAGCAAAAATGGTGAGGAGTTCTGTGGCACCTTAAAGACTAGCACATTTATTTGGGCATAAGTTTTCATGGGCTGGAACCCGCTTCATCAGAGGCATGAAATGGAAAGTTCATTTTGGCAGGTACACACACACACGGGTATGTTACATTATTGTTGACCAATGAGGTCAATTCAGTCAGGGTGAATGTAGCCCATTCACAACAGTAGATGAAAAGACAGGAGAAAATTAATTTTGTGTAGTGAGTTAACCACTCCCAGTGCAATAGTGTTGTTTGCACATGAATTCCAGCTTGGCAGAAACAAAATACATAATGGTCAAGAATGGTATGAAGATCTTTTTGGCCACGCTTTGCCACTGTTTCTTCCTGAACCAAATTTAGGCTGGTAACACACCACCACCAGAACTATGTACATACCAATATTCATTTTCTCTGCTTAAACATCTGCCAGCGTCAGTGCTGAACACTTAAGTCTAATTCAAAACCTATTGATGCTGATGGCATCAGTCTATTACCATCCCAGGACCATTCAGGCTTCAAGAGTACAAGCAGCAATGCTTAATTCAATATTTTGGGGGTCACAAATAACTTTCTGCAGCAAATAGAGAGAGACGTGCTAGAACATGCACATAGCACAGGAAGGCTTTAACCTTTGGGCTAAATTCTGCTGCTGCTGTTTACACACAGGCCCCAGCAAAGCTTCAGTGTGCAGCAAACACACAAGGGAAGCTGGTTGTTTGCGTGTGCCTCCATCAGATGATTTCCAAGACAGCACTCACGAGGCCCCCTTCAATTTACATCACGGCAAGGTGTCACTGCAAGTGACAAGAGGGAAACAGACGCTTTAAATGAGAAAGAATCTGTGTAAATAATGATGCCTGAGTTACATCGGTACAAACCCATAGACACGACTTTGTCAAGGGAATCTTTAGCACTTAACGCAATGCATGAGAAAGTATAGAATCAGGCTAGATTGTTTCATCATAGGTGGAGAGGGTATTCAGCTAAAGGGAAGGGAACCCCCTCCCCAACTTTGAGCATCTCTTTCAGGGCCAGCCCACATCATTTTGGCACCTGAAGCGGGGAGCTCAAATGACATGCCCAGGCCCCCTAGCTGCACCAGCAGCAGACACAATTTTCTACACTCTGGGTCCTAGAGGCACCCCTCCCCTGCCAGTCTTGCTGCGAGGTGGCCGCCTCAGTTCCCCTCATGGGAAGGCCAGCCCTGCCCCTTCTGATTTGCTCTGGAAATCACTAAGATATTAGGGCCATTTTAAAAGCAACTGTTCAGAGCAGAACTATATCCGATCCCCAAAGGCCTAATCCAAAGGGCAGCGGAACCATGATATTCAGTTTTGGGCTGAGGTCTGCATTTTAGTTTCTGCGCAAGAAGGGGGGGGGCAGTTAGGATGCATCCAATCATCAGGGGTTTCCTGTCACACACTATGGATTAATACTGGATCATCATTCTCTCTCTGTCTCTCACACACACTCACCCCACCCCCGTCCCGGCCCCTCCATGACACAGGGACAGTGAGAGGCAAGACCCACCGTTAAGATTAAGCTCTTCCATCACTAATAGGAAATTGAAAAGGAATTCAAGCAAGTTTCACATTAAGGCACTTGGAGCAGGACCTTCAGGACACTTGCTGCTGGTTATGTAAATGAGAAATTCAGATCTATCAACTATGCAGCATTCAGGGCTAGGAATGTTAGTTCATGACTGTTTAAATGATTAACTGATATACCTGGGCTTATTGGTTAACCCAGATGACTACATGCACCTCCACCCCCCACCGCTTGCTGCAAGGGGCAGCAAGGGGGGGCAGGCAGGCAGAAGCCAGTGCTTGGGAAGAGGGGTGACTGGCTTAACACCTGGCTTCCCACAAGCACTGGATCCCACAGGGCTGCTTGTCTCCCCACTCCTGTGCTGCTGCCTTGGATACACGCCTGCCCCTGTCCCCACCCAGTGCTGTCCCTGTATCAGAGGCAGTAGCATAGGGTGGCAGGGGGCTCCCTGGGAGTGGGGCAGGGAATTAGGAGCACAGTGACTGCCACCCCCACCGAGTATTTTAGTAACTGTACAACCCATCAGAAATGTGTGGCTACCCGATTATTATAACAGATGTTATTTAATATCCCTAGTCAGGACATTAGCTCATTTGAAGTAAGGTTCTAACATTCTGGACTTTTTAGCTTAACCAATACAAAAGACCTCAGAACTAAAGTTAGAAAAGTGAATTCCAATAGCTCCAGCTCATTAAATCTGCACATCTTCCTTGCACTGACCCATTAAAGGGCCTTCGATATTAAACTCATTACTGTCCTTGTGGGACCAGGCAGCAAGAGAACGAAATGCTGTTAACGCATCACCTTGGCTTCTTATACAACGTTTCATTGACAGAGACAGCTGTGATGTCTCAGATATTACAGCAACGAGTGCAATAAAAACATCCATGAATAAGGCTTCCTTTAATAACCTGAGAGAGATGACACATTTGCAATAATGAGTTTACAAGGTATTTAATATTTTAGTGCCCTAGAAGAAAATTACTACAGCTAGATAGTGTCGAATGAATCTAAGGTTTAAAATTTCCATTGTCTTTCAGTAAGACTAAGACAGCTGAAAATCTCCTTTAAAAAATGGGCCTTTTGAACTTGTATTCTCTGTGCAAGTTTTTACACGATTAAATTCAGAAAAATGTAATTTTATTGGACAACCAAATGAACGTTTTTGCAAACAAATCCTAAATGAAAGAATTGTTGCCCATGTGATTCAGTTAGTGGTTCCAGTAGGTCAGCAAGTCATAATCTATGTAGCCCTCTACTGTTTTACAGAAAGGAGAGGGAATATCAGTCCTTAAGTACAAGACAGGGAAATGGAGGCACAGGAAGGTTAAACTAGTTGCTTAGAAGCAAAGAATGAGTCAGTGACAAAACCTGATAAAAAAGCTGCATCTGCCACTTGATAGTGAAGATCACCATCTCCTGGACTTTGCTGTTATCTGAAGAAATGGGCTGTGCCCACAAAAGCTCATGATACCATCTACACGTTTGGTTAGTCTTTAAGATACTATTTGTTGTTTAAGTTTTTCATGGTCTCGGTTTGTAAAAAAGATCTATGGCCCCAGCTTGTGTGCAGGCAGCAGGTGGGGATTAGAATTTAATCAGCCGCAATCTGGGCATGACCAAGATGCTCCAATGAAAGCGCAGCCACAGGAGCATGTTCAAGTGAAAGTATGGCAATGGCAAGAGGGCTGGGACAGAGTTACCTGCACAAGGGGAGTAGCTAACTGTGGTGGGAGGGAGTCTCCAAGCACTTTGCCCAGTTTACACAGTGTTTTGCAGTGCTGTAACTTGCTGCACTTGGGAGATGTTTTTTGTTTGTTTTTACACCCAGAGTCCAAACATTGCAGTGTAGACTAGGGCTATTAAAATGAGTGTAATTAACTATGTAACCAGCGATTACATGCGGCATGGCAGTTGGCTCCCTAGGAGCTGCTGTGTTTGAGGAGCCAGCTTTTAAGCCTCTATCAGAGGCAGCAGTGTGGAGTGGCAGGTGA